CTCAACTCAAATAAACGCACTCGAATATATCTTGTCGTGCTAGATAAAGTTGCGAATTACTGAATTTCAAATTCTTCGGTTAGCTGTGCATCTTTTAGTTAGTTTGTGCTGTGTGTTTGATGCCATTTATGTAATAGTTGTAGTAGTTGCAATAATTTTTGAAACTATATTCAAGAATCTTTCGTGAATAACATTTGTTTCTCCAAGTAATCCATATGCAGTCAGTTGGACGGTTTTTTAGATATTCTTCCGCGGCAGGGTAACATCGCTCCCTCTAGCTAAGCAAATGTATTGCAGGAACTTCAAGGATCCAATTGAACTATGTTTAGACGCCTAATGCGTTGACGTTAAGGAATAGGATGAAGTATAGTGACGCGATATCTAACACCTACAACTTCTGTAGTATTCTTTCCACGTATTCAAAAAGGCAAAGCAAAACACCAGAATTGATCGTACAAACAACGAGTTATATCTCGGGACCAAATCGGAGTGCGAGATGACTGCTTAGCTAATTAACATAACACGACAACGTGCCAAATGGCGTGGATGCTTGACCAGAAGCCTTCAGCTAAACAAGTTGACTTAAACAGTGTCGGTCAGCACCCAGTGTTCAGTGATGAGTGCTCTGGCCAATAATTCCTGGGGAATTACCTACCGCTACATAAGTCAACTGTTACTGAAAACTTCCTGAAGTACTTCAAGCCAGTTAATTGACTAGATTAATTAAGAAATATGGGCAATTTGAAGTATACTTAGAGTATGCTATGTTGTCATCTTTATCTCCTATCCTTCAAGTGTATCTAATTAATGCAGCTATCAGGCTATTCATGTTATAATTTGCATCTGAAATACTACCGTCTGTAGTGCTCTGGTTGCTCAGTATGTCCTGCGAAATACTGGTTGGTAAATAGCGGTTGGTGAGTGCTCTGATCGAGTGACCACTCTTTGTCAGCTAAATGCATATTTTTGGAACTGCTTATTCCTTTATTGTTAGTAGATTTCTGTCTCACAGCTTTAGAGTTGGTCGAAATCGGTTGACGTGAAATGACTGAATAAGCTACGAGGCATCTCCACCACGTATATGGTAGAAGTCAGAAGTGGTGTCTTTGTATTCATATCACCATTCCAATCAGGAACCAGTCTCTTAGGTCAATCCAGTGAATGAACTTTCAGTTTGTAGTTGACATGAGACTTTGTTATTAAGACAATCGGATATTTACATACCTGTTCTGCATTTCCATTGATCGTCAAATTAGAAATGGCCCATGCAGCTTCCTTCTGTGTTAGGAATTCACTCTCGGACAGATGATGAATAATGAGTGGAACTAGACCATGATCAATTACAGCTTGCACTTGACTTTGGTTTCCTGCAGTTATATTGGACAGAAACCACACAGCCTCCTTGTTTATTTTATCTCTTGGATGGGTTAACAAAGCAGGAAAATGACTCAGAGCTCCACAATCCAGAACAACTTGTGTTTGCTGGTCCGAACCCGTAACAATGTTGCCAACAGCACGCAGTGCAGCGGTTTGCACCTTGAAACTTGAGTGTGACAACAACGGGACCAAGTGAGGCACGATCTCTGCATTAATTACCATTTCTATCTGATCGTTCCCTCCATCAGTTAAATAGGATATAGCCCACACGGTATCCACGAGTATCTGCAAACAGACCAACAAGCACAAAATATGTATCAATATGTATTCAAAAGTATTTTACTAAACGGGTCAAAATGATACTGAGGACCAGTGAAGTAAGGCTTGAGATCAAATGATCCTTAAATAAATTTTTCCGCCCCTTAACATTATTTCCAATACGGGAATTCCACTAGAGTCGACCTTGTATGTCAAGGGAACTGATGGCTATGCACATGTCCAAACCCTTTCATAACATATCAGAGATTACTGCCGTGACTATTATCACCACTTGCTTCGCAAAACATGAGTGGGGGTTTTGCAGATTGGAAACCTTTCTAACTGTTTGCGACCATGTTCCGCAGAACAGTTCCTTACGCCATGGTAGTTTCCCACTATACATTATCTACATTCTATGCTGACACACTACAAAATTATTTTCTGTATCACTTTCAAGACTACTTCGCAAAGCTATACACTTCGGTGGCAAGCAACGAAAGCATATCCCAACTGATGTTAAATGACAGTAAGGTAAATAAACAATGTGATAGCTGTCCGATTGATTCACCAAAAGCCGACACATTACCGGGTCAAAACTAAGGCGAAATAAATCATCTGTAATCAGATAACTCCAATATATACCAAAGACAATAACTTACACTGTCGTCAGTATGCTTGATCAAATATAGAAGGGCCGGAAGAAGTTCTCTGATAGCTGAAGCTGGTGGAGGCGGATCTTTGTTACGACACAGGTTAACCATGACCCAAGTGACATTGCGCAAGAAGTTAAGTGGTATGTTTGGTGTTAACAGCTTCAGTAGTGGCTTTATGACATCCAGTTGAATCACATAGTCGCGTAAAACAGGACCGTCCCCAATAATGTTTCCCAGTGCCCAAACAGCTTGTTCACACACATTGGGATGTGAAGAAGACAGCAACTTGAGGAAGAGTGGAACAGCTCCCGCATGAACCACAGCCAGGGTCTGTGAAGATGTGCCAGATGCAATATTTGTTAACGCCCAAGCAGCCTCGAATTGAAGATTGGGACTGCAAAACACAGAAATACCACACAAAGAGCAAATTAACTTTCTCAGAAAAATCTAAAGTGCTTTGAAAACCGACCCTGCGATGAGAAGCTATGGACAAGGATGCGCTGTTGAACAGAGAAGTGCCACCGGTAAACGAGTGGATATGTGTAGTCACAGAGCTCTGAATACCGACGACATTTTCATTACAATTAAGAATCACAGGTTATTGGCAATCTATCTGAATTATTTAGTACAAGGACTTGAAGCAACACTGAAAACAACATTGCGAAGTGGAACTCTATGGTAACTACCTTTATTTGCCAAATATACGAAAATACTGCAGTAAATTGTCTCTGCTGACACTCACTGACTGGTTACAACACAGAACTTTGCACCGATGTGCAGCAGTTCAAGTCGCTACACTCCATGTAGCACACACAGCGAGAGAAGAAAGTAGAAAGAAGTGCATATAAGAGATAGTAAACAGAGGCGTGAGACAAAGGAATAGTAATAACAAAGAACAAAACAGTTTCATTGGAAATCATTAGTCACAAGGAGTGGATGCATCTGCGCCGGCCAGTGAGAACGATTTTGAGCCATATCACCAATTGTTTCTAGTCATTGGTTTTTACCGTCCCGAGGACCACGACGAGGAAGTCTACACCTTCCTACGTGGCTCAAGCTAACTGTTGTGGATTTCATTGCTCTGCTAGCACATTGCAAACAGATTGGACAGAAGAGTAACAAAACCTTAGTTCGCGTTCACATCTTGGGACATCTTTGGTCAAAGTTAGTGCCTGTATTATTCCTGGAATCCTCGACAGCCTGCTGAACTCGTTTTGCAATGCCAATCTACCTTTCATTATCTGGTCTCAGAAGTCTCAGCTGTGGTAGACAGGTTCCAGCACTTTTGTTCGTGCCTAATTCCTTTATAAATCTCTCGGTCAATCCATGGGAACAATGTTTTCGACTCGTTTGGACAGACTAAGCGATGGAAGGTTTGGTTTCCTGAGCGTAAAGTTGCTCAAATTGTCCCTACACTTATGTACCAGTTCAGAGGCTTAGCCTATGAAATGATGGCATTTAAATCACCATTCCAAATGTTTGGTCGAGCTTGGGCTTTGGTCCATTACACTGCTTCTGTCAACTTGAAACCGAGCACAGTGCGGTTACTTCTTCCTAAGGGATGAAGATGTTGTACGAGGTCCACATCCTCGTCATGGGAGAAAGCCAGATCTACGGTTATGGAGACTTGCTGTGGCTCATAGTGCGTGGGCTTCGTGATATGTCATAGGGTTAGTGAAATACTGCATTCCAGAAGATTATAGTCAAAGGAGTTTTGTGGATATGGCGTTATAAGGACTTTCCAGTCAACTGTTGGGGGGGGGGTGAATTACCTGACCACTAGACTCCAACATTCTGACATCCATTAGCTTAGCTTCTCTATTACGATATCGTCAGCATTGCAGTTGAGACTACTGTATAAAGTAATGAGGTCAAAGCATTGGATTGTGTACTCAAGTCTGCAATGTAGACGTCCTCATGCTACAACTTCTTTTGTCAGAATGTCGATGTTCTACACAGTTAGACATATACTTTCTGTCTCGTACCCCAACTAGAAGGTCTGTATCCTTCTACGTGATTCAAAGCAACAGTCGAGGTCTTCATGGACTGAATATATGTTTTGGTTTGACTATCAGTGGATCTTTTCCAACCCAATCCGGTGTCATCTATTATAAATGGAGAAGTAGGGCGATGACTTCATATGAGTAACACATGTCCTAGTCGTCTGAATCAATGCATATCCACGGCTTCATTTACTGATTTTCCCTTCTTATCTAACTCTCCACACGAAACCCCCCAGTGCCACTCAGCATTTTAATCAACACAAAACGAGGACTAGAATGCAAACACCTGTGGCCAAATGCAGTCGACCTCTACCTCTCTTCCACTTCCAATGATCACGTTCAACAATCATAAAAAGGAATGAGAGAACTGCTGCTCAGTACACACGTTCTTTGATCGACAGTCGGCTGGGAAGTCTAAGAGACAGATGAGTTGTTTGGCAAGTGCCAGATGAGCCAGTTTTATGGGTGCTGAGATTACGTCAGCAATCATTGGACGCTAGTCCAGTCGTTGCATCCCAGTCCTGCATCATCACCTCATATTCGACTTAGGAAGGTACATAATGAAACTACGAATATGGAAATTTACAGACACCGATTATTACAATAAATGATTGTTAAGGCAAACTTGAACATAGACTAAAGGCAAGATATACAAAAGAATAGTCAGCTACATGTAGAGTAGATTTATGGCTGTCGAATATCAACTTACTCATCACTTGTTAGACATGACACCAATTTAGGGAGCATGCCAGCATTGATCAGCTCGTCAATGGGTGGATTCCGGTCACTTGAAAGAAGCTTGCGGGCAGATTGTACAACAAGAAGCCTGACTGCAGGATCCTCACTCGAAGCATTCGCAACAATGGCTTCCAAGTTTAACAGAGGTGACTTTCCTGTTGCTTCGACCTCTGTATCCACAGGGTCACCAGCTGCTGGGAAGTTCCTTTTCCGCTGAAGAGTTTC